AGACAGAGGGAGAGAAGGAGAGAAAGAAATTGAAAGAGTGGGCAGAGAAACAGGGAAAGACAAGAAGAGACAGAGGCAGCAGAAGAGAGATAGAGACAGACAGGGATGGAGAAAACGAGACAGAGAGATTAAAAGAGAGAGTGTAGATGGAAAGACGGAGATAAAGACAGGGATGGAGAAAAGGAGACAGAGGGAGAGAAGGAGAGAAAGAAAGAGAAAGAAATTGAAAGAGTGGGCAGAGAGACAGGGAAAGATACGAAGAGACAGAGGCAGCAGAAGAGAGATAGAGAGAGACAGGGAAGGAGAAGAGGCGGAGAGATTAAAAGACAGAGAGTGTAGACGGAAAGACGGAGATAAAGACAGGGATGGAGAAAAAGAGACAGGGGGAGAGAAGGAGAGAAAGAAAGAGAAAGAAATTGAAAGAGTGGGCAGAGAGACAGGGAAAGATACGAAGAGACAGAGGCAGCGAAGAGAGATAGAGAGACAGGGATGGAGAAAAAGAGACGGAGGGAGAGAAGGAGAGAAAGAAAGAGACAGAAAGAAAGAGACAAGAAAGAAAGAAAGAAAGAAAGAAAGAAAGAAAGAAAGAAAGAAAGAAAGAAAAAGAAAGGAATCGAAAGAGTGGGCAGAGAGACAGGGAAAGACAAGAAGAGACAGAGGCAGCAGAAGAGAGATAGAGACAGACAGGGATGGAGAAAAAGAATCAGAGAGATTAAAAGACAGAGAGAAAGAGAGACAGAGCGCAGACGGAAAGGGATGGAGAAAAAGAGACAGAGGGAGAGAAGGAGAGAAAGAATACGCAGTGTACTGGCGAATCTTCAGTGTATTTATCTGTACAGTTTTAAATCCAGACTGAACGATGCTTACATGGCTCTATGAACACTACTCCAACAGACTCATCTTCAGACGCGAAGCTTTTTTAATCGAGAGGAGAACATCCAACCCAGCGAAAGGCTGAGAAAGGTCTTCCTCGGTCAAGTTCGCGCATGAAGACGTTCCTACTGAATGATCACACAATGAAACCCAGAGCTGGGCTTTTAGCATCGCTTTGAACATTCTCTTCTCTTCCCCGAGTCTTTCTGTACACCGATTCCCTGAAACTGAAAAGCATTTTCATTTCCCTCTTTCTCCTGTCTTCCAGGTTGAAGGAGGCGAGGGCTCTCATTTCATCTGCACTGTAGATCTGGTTTTCCTTCCTCATACGCACGGCCTCCATACGCCGATGTCTGCTTCCGCTCATCACGTAGCCTGATTTCTCGAAGCCCGCTATCTCGTCGCTGGTAAGGCCGATTTCACCTCTCCTCGGAATACGCTTGCCTTCTTTTACGTACTTCGCCATGGCAGCACCTTCACCGGGTAACAGAGCGTGGCCGAAATCTAAAGGTTTCTCATACTGGGCTACGTGAGTCGGAGGAGCTTCAGGACCAATGACGTTATCATAAAGAAGAGTTTTCTCCACCCACAGTACTCCGAGATCATCCTGTTCCTCTGAGGACTGATCACTGCTGGAACTTCTTGACTCTTTGCGGCTCTTTTTAGCCTTCTTCTTCTTCTTCGATTTCTTCCTTTTACTCTTCTTCTTCTTCTTCTTCTCGACCTCTTCTTCCGAGTCACTGTCCGATTCGGTGTCCTCCGAGCGCTTGCGACGTTTCCTTTTTTTCGATTTTCGTCTCTTTTTCTTCTTCTTAATCTTCTCCTCTTTGGAACTTGTCTCAGAGCTGCTGTTCTTCACGTCCTCTTCAACTGGAGCGGGTCCGTCCGAGTCAGGGTCTCGGACTCTCGGTGAAGCGGCCCAGACCTCAGGACATCCCTGCGCGGCGATTCTCTTACGCCCCTGCAAGCGCCTGGCGATGAAGGCTTCTCGTCGTTGCTTCTGGATATCGTCTCTCTTGTAGTAGTAATCGGATCTCGAGCCTGTAGAGTGTCCCCGGTCCCGCTCATCGGCCCAGACCGACGTCTCTCGTTCTCCGGTTCTGGTCCGAGCGCGCGAGCCGCCCATCCGTAAGCGGTCCCGGCTCTTCTCTTTGTTATCGGACCATTTCGACTTGCGCTCGTCGGTCCTGTTGTGTCTGTGGATATCGGCCGCAGGACTCGACACGCGCTCCCGCGAGCGGCTCCACGCACTTCCGCTGCTCGGGCGGCTCCGGCGGCGCTTTCTCGGGCTTCTGGCCTCCGGACATTCTCCGTCGAGATTGGGCATCGTGAAGCGCTTTAAGTGCTGCTTTCTGAGATAAAGAATTCCATTACATTTAGAATTCAGAATTCAGAATTCATTCATGCGTGCAATGAAACCGTCCACATCAAACCTCAGACTTCAACCCTGATTTACAGTTCGGACCGTGTTGACACGCTGTCCGAAACACATCGTTAATCCGTGTATCTAAAATAAACGCATTTCGAACCAAAAAAATAAAGGTCTAACTGTTATTTACGTCGTGCTAAGTCTGTAATAGCGCCCCCCGTAGACTTTTAAACTCTCTTCATTTACCAATTATTTAGGTGGGAAAAAAAACAGAATAATCACTCATTCAAAAAGAAAAAGAAAAAAAAATAGATCTACATGTTTCAACATGAAAAGTAAAGAAATGGTTAGATTAATAAAAAAAACAATCACTGGTGAACAACAATTCCAGCATCGTCCGTTTTCAGAAAAATAAATAAACCCTCGTTTGCGCACCACTTTAGAACAATAGACTAAAGATGAAAACAGAAGGAAAAAAAACCTAGAAACACTCAGAGACGTGCTCTAACCACCTGCGCTCTCGCCCGCTACCCACAATCCTCAGAGAGAGAGAGAGAGAGAGAGAGAGAGAGGAGAGAGTGACAGGGACAGAAAGAGACAGAAAGCTAGAGAGTGACAGAAATAGAGAGTGACAGAGAGAGAAAAAGAGACAGAGATACAAAGAAAAGAGAAAGAGAAAAGAGAGAGACAGAGAACGAGAGAGAGAGAGCAGTACAGAGAGAGACAGGGAAGGAGAAAGAGACAGACAGAAAGAGAGTGATAGAAAGAGAGTGACAGAGAGAGACAAAGAAAGGGAGAGAAAGAGAGAGACAGAGAGATAAGGAGAGAAAGAGAGAGCAATACAGAGAGAGACAGGGAAGGAGAAAGAGAAAGAGACAGACAGTAAAAGAGTGACAGAGAGAAAAAAAGAGACAGAGAGAGAGAGGGAAGGAGAAAAAGAGACAGAAAGCAAGAGAGTGATAGAAATAGAGTGGCAGAGAGAGAGAGAGAGAGAGAGAGAGAGAGAGAGAGAGAGAGAGAGAGAGAGAGACAGGGAAGGAGAAAGAGAAAGAGACAGACAGAAAAAGAGTGACAGAAATATAGAGTGACAGAGAAAAAGAGACAGAAAGCAAGAGAGTTATAGAAAGAGAGAGAGAGACAGAGAGAGACAGAGAGAGACAGGGAAGGAGAAAGAGACAGAAATCAAGAGAGTTATAGAAAGAGAGAGAGAGAGAGAGAGACAGAGAGAGACAGGGAAGGTGAAAGAGACAGAAAGCAAGAGAGAGAGTGACAGAGAGAGAAAAAGAGACAGAGAGACAAAGAAAGGAGAGAAAGAGAGAGACAGAGAGAGATGAGGAGATAAAGAGAGAGAGCAATACAGAGAGAGACACAGAGAGAGACAGGGAAGGAGAAAAAGAGACAGGAAGCAGAGTGTGAAAGAGAGAGAGAGAGAGAGAGAGAGAGAGAAGGACGATCTGTGACACTGGAGACTCCTTCCATAAGCATGAAATAAAAACGGGTCCTTTTCTTTTTCTGTTTATTATTAGGCATATAGTTATGTTCAGAAACGCTAACGTGTTCGCTTCTGACCAATAAGGTTGGAGGATTCCACAGCACTGTGGTGGAGAGAGAGAGAGAGAGAGAGAGAGAGAGAGAGAGAGAGAGATGATCTGTCTGTTCAGAGCTGGTGAGATTAGAAATTCGGCGAGAGCGCTCCGAGGCGCTGAGAGTCAGGTGACTGTGTTGTTTTGTATTCTGAGGAAATGCTCACGATCCAGGCTCAAATAAAAAAAAGCAACAACAACAACAACAACAACAACCCAACAATCTGTGAAATCTTCACGTTCTATATTGAGTGTGACATTTCCGACAGGATTATGGTGGTGTTAAAAACAAAGGAAAATTTCCCACTACATGCATCCATCCGCGTTCTGTTCCACTTTCTCAGGATTAAACCTTCAGAAACAAGGTTCTGCAAATTTATTCCCTGCCCTTCGGTCATACTCGTTCACACACGCGATGGCACTGACTCTGAGTATTCTGATGTACGCCATACGTATGTACACTTAAAGAAGATGCTAGAACGCTCGGGGTATAAGTGTGTGTATGTGACCTCCCGGTCTCTGCATCTCTCTGCACCACCATCATAAAGTCTATTTTTACCCTGTGGCTCTGTGTGCTGAGCGCTGCAGTGAATATCTGATGCCCCACGCAGGCGAAAGTCAGAGAGAGAGAGAGGGACGAGTGTGGGCCGCGTGCTGAAAGTGAAACTCCGCACGGACCCCTGACGCACCGGCCGCGTCCAAACGCGACGGGCTCCATGATGGAGCGCTGAAAACCGACAATATATGACGATCGGGTTCGCTTGTCGCTTTAAAAAAAAGATAAGATTTGAAAAAATAAAAAAATAAAACGGGGAAATTCCCTAGACGAGGTGGGAGTTTCACCACGATGGCTGTTTTTCCTTGAAGGCACTTCAGAAATGCGTTAAATTCTTTATTCAGAGCTAAGGCGGGGCATTATCATATAACAGGGGTGGGATGATCCATCCATCCATCCATCTTCTACCGCTTACTCCTTTTCAGGGTCACGAGGAACCTGGAGCCTATCCCAGGGAGCATCGGGTACAAGGCAGGGTTCACTCTGGACAGGGTGCCAGTCCATTACAGGGCACAATCACACACACATTCATACACTATGGACACTTTGGACACGCTAATCAGCCTACCAAGCATGTCTCCCTGCAGCACAGGGAGAACATGCAAACTCCACACACACACGGCCCCGGTGGGACTCGAACCCCCACCGTGGAGGTGTGAGGTGAACGTGCTAACCACTAAGCCACCATGCCTATATATATATCTATCTTCGAGTAGTGAGTATCATGATATGATATTTTGGTCACACTCTACACCTTTATTCAGGAACAACAAACTTCAGACATGCAATTTCCCATCAGGACAAGACAGAAAGCTGTAGCTCTACAGTCTGGCGGGCGTCGACCTCTGACCTGTGTCTGTCAGTTCTACTCACAGTACCCGGCGGGTCACTCCGATCTGCCCTTACAGGATGTTATTTTCACAGGTGGAGCCTGAAGCTATGACGACGTGACCGGCTTCTCCTTGGGATTAAGGTGTTTTTCGAAATTCTTTTTTTTTTTGGGGGGCGGACAGCCAGGCAACGTTTCAGTGTGAATGCTGCTTCATAATAAGCATTTTTTATTATCCTAGATTTTTTGGCGGATTAAAACCGCCTTCTTGTTTCCTATTGGCTCACAAGACCATCCATCCATCTTCTACCGCTTACTCCTTTTCAGGGTCACGAGTCACCTGGAGCCTATCCCAGGGAACATCAGGAACAAGGCGAGGTTACACCCTGGACAGGGTGCCAGTGCTCACAAGACCATGAGCACTAAATTAATATTTAAACTGTTTAGAAAATTCGTGTGAAAGTGTTAAATGTCAAAGAAGTGTTTCAGCTTTACAGTCAGAGTGTCTGCTAGGGGCGAGCGATATGAGAAAAATATCATATCACGATTTTCTACGATACATGATCTGGATCACAATATACTGTAGAGCTTTGCTCACAAACTGCCAGCTGAACAGTGCCTGTTACATTAAAAGAAACAATAATAAAACCGTTTGATCCTACTTTATCGAATGTATACAAAAATACATCTTTTTTCAAACTTTTTTTTAATATGTATTTGAAGAAAAAAAATACACCTTTTATTCATTGAAAAAAAACCCCAGAGAAGTTAAACTCCACGTTTGCAATTAAATTTCTATTTATAAGTGAAAAATATCTCAGAAACGCACAAACACAACATTTATCTCAATATAAATAAAAACTCGTTTCGTTAACACGATTTCATCATGTATTTTCAAAACCCTGAATGAAATCGAACCCTGCGCTTTCACCCGAGCTCAGAATCGAACCCTGTGCGCTGTCTTTGTGCGAGAGCGGCGTGATGCTGCACTGTCATACCACATGATAATAGGAATGATCATATTAATATTAATTGATAATAATAAATTTTCTTTTTTGCAAACTCTCCGTAATATGTTCTCTAAAAATCTGACCGACCACAGGCTCACTTATAGTACGTTTACATTTATGGACGATGATAATTAAAGACGATACTCTGATTAAGAAGCTAGCATGTAAACAGAGATTATTGACGACCTTAATCCGATTAAAGTCATACTCGAAGTAAACACAAATGGAATGAAGACACGTGGAGTATTCCTGTTTAAGTCGCATTATCGACGTGCGTTACAGACACGTACACACCTTAATCACACTGTTCGCGTCGTGTGGGAGTTTTCACCGCATTTTGAGACACGGCAGCGCTCAACCGTTTGACGGCAAACAAGAGAGCACGGCTGCATCCCAAACCACGTACTTACCTGCTATATAGTAGGAGAAATACATGTCTCTCTTTATACTATATAGTAAGAGAAATACACGTATCTCTATATACTATACAGTAGGAGAAATACACGTATCTCTATATACTATACAGTAGGAGAAATACACGTATCTCTATATACTATACAGTAGGAGAAATACACGTATCTCTATATACTATATAGTAAGAGAAATACACGTATCTCTATATACTATATAGTAGGAGAAATACACGTATCTCTATATACTATATAGTAAGAGAAATACACGTATCTCTATATACTATATAGTAGGAGAAATACACATATCTCTATATACTATACAGTAAGAGAAATACACGTACCGCGTGCCGTTAATCGATCTATGTTCTATAACACATCAAACGGGAACATGAAAGGGATATTCTAAAAGCGACTCATGTAAACACCTTAATCAGAATAATACACGTCTGATTCAGAATAAGGTGAATAATTCGATCACTGCCGTCCGTGTAAACGTAGGCACTGTCCGCAACATAAAACCGCTGGGAAATTGCTTATCGGCGTCTTTAGTAAGCAGCTTTTTTTCGTTTGCAGAGTGAAGAGTGTGAGTCTGTGAACAGTGTGACGCGGGGATGTGAAAGCTTTATGGAGGAGGAAGCGGCAGAAGAGAAGAGCCGCAGCACGAAGCATGAAAACCTGGCTTTTAAAGGCGGGCAGAGGAAAGAGTCTGCTCTGCACTCGAGTGTAGGAACAAAAAACGTTCAAATCTCGCCGAAAATTAGAACCGAAATCAATCACGTGGCGCACAGCGGTGAGGAAACGCTTCAGTGTTTCACGGCGCCGATATCTAATCACATCGGGAGACACATTGTGCAGATAAAACATCTCCAATCCGCAATTTGCTGCTCTGCACTAACGGCTTTCTTTTTTGTTTCGGGGGGAGGGGGGGATCGACGGCCTTTTTCTCGCGCGCTCTCCTCTGCGTTGTGATATTGGGTTTCGAGCCGAGCTTGACACGTAATCGACAACAATGCTCGGCAGACTATTTCGGAAAGCAAACAAGAGAGGCACGAATAGGCTGATTCTACTTCAGGGGTGGACAAGTAGCTTCCGTACGCTGGTGGTTGTGCGAACCTGGGCGTTTCTTGGGGGGTTTTGTTTGTTTCCCCAAACATCAGACTCATCGATTGTCACTGCATAGATAGAGGTCATGAACTCCAGGTAACGTTCACATGAAACGTCAGAATGCGGAATTCTCACCGACTGACCACTCCGAGTGTTTCCGAAACTACTGATTTCCTTCGGATTTTCGCAAGCACGTCTCTAGAGTTTATACAGAATGTGTGAATATGATCAAAATAAATCCTCCAGTGAGTTCGGTTCGGTTCTGCGAAAGGTCAGAGGAGAACGTCCAGACTGGTTCGAGTTAACTCTGTAAGTACTCCGCGCTCTCACGTGTAAAAATCTCACCCCCTACTCCCGCCTCTGCGTCAATCCCATAACCTACCCTTGCATCAAACTGCGATCAGAGACAAAGTTTTAAACCCAAACGCAGGACCAAACTCAACCACCGGATAGTGCTGATGTGGGTTTTTGGGGCGTTTCGTGTCTGGTGTTTGAAGACGACCGCCCGCGGGCTTCGTTTAGTAACAGCACGTCCGATCTCACGTCTCAGATAACGTTTCAGACTCCATCACGTCTCAACAAGTCTTTCTGACACAACCGGGACACCGATTTTACCGCCCCTCCTAACAGCTTCAACAGCTCGCAGACGAATAACACGAACCGTTTCCTCCAGCGCTTTATTCCTTCCCCTGCACCGTCTCGGCTCCTCGGTGTCTCCGGCCGGGGAAAAAAGAAATGAATAAGAAGGGAAACGTTTCGACTGATTAACGCGGAGATGTGTAAAGCAAACGGCTTTATTTCGCTGGGTGTGTAATGGGCCTTGGGACAGCGCTGAGTAATCTACATAAGAAATGAGACATAAAAACCTAACAATAATGCAAGCACTGCAGGTGTGCGGTTACGCAAACACAAAACAAGAGGAACTGTAGGAAGCAGGGGCCTTCACAATGAGTTATGCTCGTACTCGATTTTGCAACACACCGCAATCATTACGTGTGCGTGCGAGCGCTGAAGAGAGCCCGAGACGCTTCGCTTCATTAAAATGCCATGAATTTCCGAAAAACAGTTCAGCTACGCTTTGCTGCAGCGCTTCTTCTTAATCAGCTGACTCGGCTTGCTGTGAAATATGGTCGCTGACTGCGTGGGCTGTAAATGACGCGATGCACGCGAACGAGATACAGATCTATACAGAGACTGGTTCAGGCTTCACGATGTTTACATAGGCGAAAGATCCGGCTGCACTTGGCACGAGTCTGTTCAAGAAGCAGTAAGGAGCTTCACTTAACAATTCTACAAAATAGGTTCAGTCATATCTTCCAATGTCTCCTCTGACGCTTGACATGATACGACTATATTTTGTCTGTTTTCTGCTGTTTTTACGAATGAATGAATTTGTTTGTTTGTTTATTTAAAGTTGAAGTTGCCTTTTCTGTGTAGGAGTTTAATTGAGTGAAACACTCTGTAAGTACTCGGCGCTCTGTAAGGACTCAACGCTCTGTAAGGACTCGGCGCTCTGTAAGGACTCAACGCTCTGTAAGGACTCAACGCTCTGTAAGGACTCAACGCTCTGTAAGGACTCGGCGCTCTGTAAGGACTCGGCGCTCTGTAAGGACTCGGCGCTCTGTAAGGACTCAACGCTCTGTAAGGACTCAACGCTCTGTAAGGACTCAGCGCTCTGTAAGGACTCGGCGCTCTGTAAGGACTCAGCGCTCTGTAAGGACTCAACGCTCTGTAAGTACTCGGCGCTCTGTAAGGACTCAACGCTCTGTAAGGACTCGGCGCTCTGTAAGGACTCAGCGCTTTAGGTACTCGGCGTTCTGTAGGGCACCGCGCTCTGTAAGGACTCAACGCTCTGTAAGGACTCAACGCTCTGTAAGGACTCAACGCTCTGTAAGGACTCAGCTTGTTATAAGAACTCAGCGCTCTGTAAGGACTCAACGCTCTGTAAGGACTCGGCGCTCTGTAAGGACTCAGCGCTCTGTAAGGACTCAGCGCTCTGTAAGGACTCAGCTCGCTATAAGAACTCAGCGCTCTGTAAGAACTCAGCGCTCTGTAAGGACTCGGCGCTCTGTAAGGACTCGGCGCTCTGTAAGGACTCAACGCTCTGTAAGGACTCGGCGCTCTGTAAGGACTCAGCTCGCGCATAAGAACTCAGCGCTCTGTAAGAACTCAGCGCTCTGTAAGGACTCGGCGCTCTGTAAGGACTCGGCGCTCTGTAAGGACTCAACGCTCTGTAAGGACTCGGCGCTCTGTAAGGACTCGGCGCTCTGTAAGGACTCAACGCTCTGTAAGGACTCAACGCTCTGTAAGTACTCGGCGCTCTGTAAGGACTCAA